ATCGTTATCCTTACTAATCGAGACGGTATACCCCCGTCAGCGCAACAAGAACCTATCAACCGAGCCACTTCCAATTCCTTGCGATCCCCGGGCGCGACGTCATGGTGCGCAGCCAAATTCTTAACACATCCAGTAGTCCAATCTCAATATTAATTGGGCCATTTCAGATACCCTGTATCATGGACCAGGTCATCTGGCCATAGGACGCGAATTCCTCCTCGCGGCCGGCACCATTTCACTGATGCACGTCGCCGTTTCCATGCTGGTCGCCCTAGCACTACATACCGCGAGTTCTTCTTACTCTAGAATGCGAGGATTGCGAATGCCCAATCCTCTCCTACCCGACGATTTAATGTTTGGGCGCCCGTCTTCCTCGTGCGAATCCATCAGGCCAGTGACGCTGGAGCCGTCCTCGCCATCGATCCCACAGCGTGCGTGTCCCTGGCACGCTTTGCACTGTCGCCCACACTCCTCCAGATTGCGCTGCGTATCCCCTTCCCATTCCTCATGTTTCGCTGGTTCCGACCGCTGTCCGCTCCGGACGAGATCTACGCGTCCAGTCTCCAGACGCTCCATCTGGGCCACGCCCTCTGGTACCCCGAGCCGCACGAGTCGGGCGAGCCGCAGATCGGCGATGTGGGATTCATGTTTGAGGGGGCGTTCATCAGGTTGTTCAACCTCGACACGTCTGCTGCCGAGAAGAAAGTCACGTTCTGGGACCCGCCGTACAAGATCACCGAGCCCGTGCCTCCAGACGTATTCAAGATAGATCGCAGGCGTCAGCCGCTCGTCCCAGGAAGTTATCGTAGCCATGGGGTGGAGAGCAAGGAGATACATGCCTCGGCAGATGTGTAAGTACACCGACCAATCCTACAGGTGCATTCCCGCTGACAGTTCGCAGGACGGCTGGTCCCGGCGTATCTGCGACTCTCGAAACCAGCTACACATGCAAGGCGGTGCAGGGCGCAGTAATCGTCCTCAAAAGCGAGGCGCACGCCGAAAGGATATTTGAGGATCGTCGGCTGAAGAAGCATATCGTCCAGAACCATGGCAGGTGGTGCGCATATGTCAAGGACGAGCTCTTCAAGGACGTAAATCCGGAAGATATCGTCGTAGTCAGCGGGTGGGTTAAGACTAGAGCGAACTGGGCAGTGATCGCTTTTGGAAGCACAAGCACGACCTCCAGTGCCTCGGCAGAAGGCCATGTTGGTGGGGTCGCGGGGGTCGCAGCAGGCGGGTCGCACTCGAGATCCGTGACGGGTCCCAGGATGGAACGGCAAGGTCAAAGCTATTTGTCGAAAGCATCCAGCCCCCAATGCGCCGGGGGAAAGCGAGACCAGTCCGTATTCGTGAAGCGATACAAGATGCTGAAGCGACTGGGATTTCTCCGGAAGGTCGTCGCAGGCGCTGGCCACGACCGGCTGTCAGGTTCGGGTGACGGGCGAAGTGGTTCGGGGGCAGAAGGAGTCACCGCACAGGAGGGCGGAGACGGGGAAAAAGCGGATATCTTAGGGCCTAGGAGTAAGGTGTGTATTTCGTTACCGTGTATCGCGAAACGCGCAAGCTGATGAGATGCCAGGGCAAAGTCGCAGATCCGCTAGACATCCTCCTGGAATACATATTGGAGGTAAGCATGCCCCGCAGTTATCTTCGCCGTGCTAACCGGGCAGCGCATTTCTGCAGACTTCCAACGCCGAGGTTGCTATTGCAAGCGATGGCGATGTTGAGAGCATCATCGTACGTGCCGCACGAATATCTCAAAGTAAAATCACTCACTTCTACTTAGGGTGGCAACTGTGTCGTTGATTTCGCAAGCTATCTTCGCGGAAAGCAACCTCCAGTTGAGATCGACGGCACGCGTGAGTATATCATTCACTAACAACTGCAGTCTCTGAAAATCGCGCGTAGTTGGATCGCTTTGCATGGGAGACGTGATTTCGCATGAGTGGGAACGGGCCTTCGCGCGTCGCACTATTATCACCGCTACCGATATGGCGAAATGGCGAAATATCACCCTCGACAACGCTGGTCGCATGTACGAGCTGCGTGTCTTCGTTGGCCCGACGAGAGACGAGGCTCAACCTCTGAAATTCAAGTGCCTTGACTTCGCCGATGCTCGAAGTGACGTCGCATATCTTCCAGAATGTCCCCCAGCCGCCAATGGCACACTTCTCGCAGCATCGCTTTGGCACAATATCCTTGTATGGAGGCTATCGGACGGTTTACTGGTTCAATGTCTGCAGAGCCATACGGGAACATTCTATTCCTTGGCATTTTCCCCCGATGGCTACTCGCTCGTCTCGGGAGCGAAGGACGGCACTGCGGTTGTTTGGGATATCAGGCGTGGTTGTGTACTCCTATGTCTCGACGGACATAACGGGGAGGTTAACAAAGTTGCATACGCTCCTCACGGTACACTCATCGCTACCGCCGCCGTGTCCAACTTCTGTGAAACCGTGAGGGTCTGGGACGCATCAACCGGAGCATGCCTGCAGTCCTTCGGTGTTGACAGGAGCGTGCATGAGCTAGCATTTTCCCCGGACAGCTTGCGTTTCTACGTCAAGCTATCTGACGAATATTCCATCTATGATACCGAAACCTACGCTCGCATTGGTGGTGTCAGCGCGACCGGGGCGATATCGCGCCAAGTTGACCGCATCGTTACGACCACCAAAACGGACAAGGTTCGAGTCAAAATTTTGAGTGCAATAACTGGTCAAGAGCTCCTCGCAATCGATGAACAGAGAGAGCTGTCAGATCTAGCAGCATTCTCTCCAGACGGGCTCGAGATATTGGTAATTTGCAAAGCAGATGGAACAGCCACCACGTACGATTCGGGGACAGGCCAGCTGCGTTGTACATTCAGATTATCAAGCACACCGCACGATGTGATGTACTCTCCGTCCGGAGACTACGTCATCTTCGCCAATCAAGACGATGTCTACGTGTACGGCGCGAAGTCTGGAACATTTATTGCAAAGGTTGAAGGATATGTGGATCAATTACTTCACTTGGAAGCATCTCGACTTATATCTGATAGTCAGACCCTCCTGTGGTCTAGTTACGGTGGAACACACCTCCGTGCGTGTAATATTCAAGATCTATTGCGAATACAATAATATACTGTTACCTGCCCCGCTCGTTGTACGTTACACGTAGCAAGCGAACATGCGTGAATATAAAACACACTTCGGGCCCTAGAAGCTAGTCAGCGCATCGGTCGTATGGCGCGTATTTCAGACTTCACGGATCGTGCGCAGCGGTCGGTCGCACCGCGGGCGGGCATACAGAGATCTCTACGCGAGCTGAACTAGTTCCCCTTGCCGGTAAATCCCTGCAGTGCGAACTCCGGTCGGCCGGTCTGACAATATCTCGTCATCTTCCGAAAGATTCTGACCGCAAGGAACGCATACAATGTTGGTGATTGTCGTGCGACGTATGGCTTCACAGGTGGGGCATGGTGAACGCGCCGTCTCGCGACAAGGTTTACGGACATTTCTGTGCGCTTTCGGACGTGGTTAGTCTACAGAAGGACGACGACCGCGCCCGATTACTCGACTTACCGACCATAACCAAGATCGTTCTTGGCGCAGAAACGTTAGAGGCGCAAGTAACTTTGCTTTATATGGACGCGCCGCCTTTGTCTAGCTTCTGAGGTACAGTCTCGACAATTCCGTCTGTGGGTCGTCCCGCAGCAGACATGTCCAAGTAAAGACGGCCGAATCGGCGACGGGGGGCGCACTTGAGCATTGCGTGCATCTATATCAGTACAAGTGCGGCAACAAGATGCAAGATTCCACCTTAGGAAGGTCTCGGGCTTGGCCTGTCCCATGCACATCGGCCTTGTCCCCCACGACACTAGCGTATGCCAGCGTTGCAGGCCAGCCGCGCTAGCAGAATTATATGTGCGCGGCGGGACCGGAGGGCGGGAGAGAATACAGCGAAAAAGCTGTTGAAGCGGGGGACAAGACGTGCCACGGTGGAGCAGTTCTGCGCAGAGTGGACATACCGATACGTGAGGCAAGAAAGGCCGAAGGACCCGCAGGGCGGAGGGGGAGAAGTTTCAGAGGTATTTTACGCAAAGTTAAAGGTAACTTGAAATGCAACAAACCTGTGCATTGCCGACAACCACGCCAGAAAAATAGAGCGGAGCAGACACACAGGGACTTGGTGGTGGCTTAGCGCTGGATGTTTTAGTCGTGGGAGGCAATCGTAAAGACAAATGCCCCGAAGGACGCAGGCCGGTCACCCACATCCGAGCACCTTATACCTCCACGCGTAATGCTGTCAAAGCTGTCGCAGATATGACCACTGGCGAATTATCAACTAGCTTGTCGTCCGCGCTCTTCCCTCAAGCTGGATCTTGACCTATATGTAGGTATATTAGTGACTTCTCTGTGCATAAGTGCGAGCACGTACCTCTACAAGATTAGCTTGATGTAACTCATATCGCGCTCTTCCCAACTGCGTCCTCTCCTGACGCGCACCTATCCTCCTGAGAAACATGCGCTGCGAGCTCGCGAGCAGAACGAACTCACGGCAGTGTGCTGAGGCTCTCCAAGGCAGCAGCAGTACTGTTTGCTCTATTCGTTCCGAGATTAATGCTGCCCGTTTCTTAACCTGCATTAGACCTGGCGGCAACACGATCCTTTTCCGGCGCCCGGGGAAAATCCAGTTCTGGCAAACGGAGCCCGTCATGCAGCTCGGAGGTTGACTGTTCAAGTTCGCGCTGAAAATTTAATGGTTAGGGCATTATATAGAGCTTTTAAAGCGTGTACGCACAAGCATGTTAGCCCACGTGACATGCCAGGGCGAGTAGAATATCACTCTCAAGCGAAGATGTTTTCCTGCGCGAAGCCATCAGGGTACCAGAAGAATCCGGGTGCACTGCGGCGGGTGCGCGTATGGTATCAAATCGCGTTGCGGAGGGCGGATGCATAATAAAGCCGTCTACGACACGAGTGACGCAGCAGAGCTTGGTGTCGAGGTAGTCGTGAAATCACCAGCCGGTTTGGTTCGTGTGATCTATTCGGCCTTCGCCGATTCGAGCGCCAATCGAAACTCCTTTCGCGTCCGAGTCGCAGGCGCTTACCCAGTCCTGAAGCTTGCTGTCGTCGTCTGGTCTTGCTTGCCCCTCACGCGACGTATTGTGCTTCGTTCCCGCTACTGGAAACAGACCTTTGCGTGGCCTATACTGTTCTTTTCTAGTGTTTTGCCGAATTTTCGTCTGCTAGCCTCTGTTTTCTCGGCACCACCACTACATCACAGACACACGATATGACACTACCGAATTGCTACCACTGTGCGCCGCTAAGGGACGACGTACTGCTTGAGCTCGTCTTCTCGGCAGTGAACTCGGCAACTCGTGCTTCCTGGCATGAATTTTTGACGCACAATCCTCGGGCGGCGGACCTTCCAAGAGTCGAGCGAGCATTCTCCAGACAACCGACCCATATCCACTCGTTCTCTTGCTCCAATGAGTCGCTGATCCGCCGCGCCAATTCCGTAGGCCCCATTCGCGTCAGCGACTCGGTCAAGGCTCCCCCGGCTGGGTTCTCGTAACATTTGTCCGCTCTGCTACTGGCTGGAGCGCGTCGCTGCATACCCGGAGTAGTGGCGTCCGGCATCAAGGCTGCATCATTTTCAAACGAGCCCTGGCATATTCGATTAGGAATCAACGCAGCTTCTCGACGCAATACATTGCTCTCACGTCGACCAGAGCTCTTGCGAGCAGCTGTAACGAGAGCAGGTTACCTTCGTCTTCCGGGTTAGAGAAGTGGATTGAGGTACTTCAGCAGAGACGAAATCGAAGTGGACGACTCGGAGGACAACAGGTCCAATAAAGCTCACGGGAGCGAGGCAGCTATGTGGGTGTGTGCTGGTTCCTTAGGGAATGGTTGGTCGCGTAGCAGACATTGTTTGGACTGCATACTCAAGGTACGTCTATTTGACAAGCGTTTTCACGCCACTGATGTCGAATACTTTGTATCGCAGGCCTCTGATGCCGAGAATGATCTGGCTCGGGATGGAGTAACTTGGAGTTTTGCTGTACGTGATACGACGTACTTAAGGAGCTTGAATGCTCACTGGATCTCAACACACAAGTTTCGAATATTCCCCTTTCGCGGCCTACATTCGTCGTGCATGACTTCCGGTGAATGAAATCACACGCGTGGGTTTTGGGTCATGGCAGTTTCGATATCAAAATGCCCTTCCGCGGCTGCACTCGTACGTTTTGCTTCTATGAGATCACATTCGCGGTGTTTCGCTTTTCTACACCAAAACATTGCTGCGCCCGATCTGGGAAAGCAGCGTCCCTCATACCGTCGGAACTCGGAGGTCAAATACGTCTTTGTAGGTACCGCAAACACGGGGTCTTGCTTTCCTGAAGTACAAGAACCTTGCCAGCAAGAGCCTTCTGACGGATACTAGGGCCTTCACGCGCCTTGCTTCCTGTGCAGATGGCAAACTTTCTGGTTTCCTTGCCGGTGGAACTTCTATACGAGGAGATCCCGAATGCTGCGCATGTAGGTCGCACGAATATAACAAGTGGTGTTGGCGTGGCATTGCGCATGAAGGTATCATGATACTGGGTTTCTTCAAAGGCTTACCGTTATGGTGTTAAGCGTTCGCCTTGGTCTTGTGACGAAACCGTTGAACCTGCTGGACGACTATTTACAGCGGCCATTGCTGACCGTGAGCATGCCGGGCAATTATCACTACGGTGCCCAGACATTCTGATTGACATTAGGTGGCACTACCGACCAAATCCGTTGCAACATGTAGACTGAACGTCTGTTCGGCCTGTTCGGCAGTGGCGAGGCAACGAATCATATCCAACGCCACAAAGCTCTTACGTACTCTTCTGGAGTATGCTTGGTTTCTCACGACCGACGCCCTGCATGAAGTGTGGATCTTCCGTGCTGGTCCTGCGTATCATTGGTGCCAAAGCAGTCGTTGTGCGAGGCTAATCCCATAGCCGTTCGGCAATTCCCTTCGGCTCGTGTTCATCACAGCCACTGGCAGGAGACGAGTTTCGAGTTTCGACCTGCTCGCTTTTCAGAATCCCCAGGTTTGGACCTTGGCACGTCTTCCCCGTGCGAAGCTATCGGGCTGGTGGCACCGGAACCGTCCTCATTATCGATCCACACCGCAGGTGCGCTAAGCTGGCTTCAAAGTCACCTCTACTCTACCGGCTCGCGCTACATTGATCTTCTCATCCCTGATATTTCGCTGGCTTCGTCCGCCACCGCCTGCTCCGGACGGAATCTATTCCGCCTGCCTTCGGACACTTCACCTCGTTCACGCCCCCCGGAGCTACATGAGTCGGACGAGCCGAAGATCGGCAATGTGGGGGTCATGGGGTTCATTCGCCCGGGCGCGTTCATACGACTGTTCAACCTCGACACTTCCGCTCCCCAGAGGAGTCGAATCCTGACCCAAGTCGTCCGAGATCACAGAGCCCTCCTGACGGTCAAACACTTTTTTGTCTTGTAACGACGGCTCTCAGCGCTTCAAGTTGGGTGGACATCTCTGTCTGTATAACATTCGAGATCTAGCGTGAATGCGATAGAATGTCATCACCTGCGTAGCTCGTCATATCACGTTACATGTAGCAAACGAACGTTGGTGAAAGCGAAATACACTTCGGCTCCTGGAGATTGGCCAGTGCAATGACCGCGCTGTCAAGCTTTTGAGGGCCATGCGCAGTGGTCTGTCGTATGACCGACAGGCGTACGGGAATCGCTAAGTAAGCTTGGCTACTGCCTTTGTCTCTGTGTTCTCTCGAGCCGCAGCCTCTGTGATCCTATTTGTAGTCTGTTCGGCAGCTGAAATGCCCGAGAGCGAACGGTACGTCCGGGAAGAGCGCTTAGTCGATGCTGAGAAACAGGGCAGAGATTAGCATCTCGGGCGTGAGTGGTGGGAAAGAATGAGATCCTACACGAGACCCGGGACAAACAGATCCCGGTAGCGCTTAAGAACTGTGTTGGCAGCAAAGTAGTCGTCCCAGGTACTTGGCGGTGATCAAGGTTAGTCGTGCTAGACGATCGTCGAGGGGACGTCACGAATGACGCAGGCCTGCTGGCGCGACAATGCCTACAGCTGAGCACTTTGACATGTGGTATGCGCGGTGCTACGGTCGAAACTATCGCCGCACTGATGACCGACGTGGTGCTCAAACCAGAGTACTGCCTATATTATCCCCTCAGTTCGAATTTCGGCTTTCACTTTTATGCGAGCGATCTGTTGCTTGTGAATGATACATCTCCGCGTAAGTGCATGGGAGAATACCTGCGGAACACTTGATTGATGATGACTCGTGCTACGCCCATCTTGACCGTAGTCCCCTTCAGCAGGCATTTGTCTTGAAATACGGCCGATCTCGGGAGCAGAGT